GGGCATTTTATAACTATTTCTCACTCTCCGGTTGGGTATCTGGTTAGATTTTAGTTTCCATTCCAGTTGTCACGCCCCGGCTTTTGTTATGTTTATTGTTTTAAAATTATATATGCCAGAAACAGAAAAAACACAACAACAAAAACAAAAACAACAAAAACTGGCCATAAATTATAAAGAGCAGATGCGCAGTTCTCGCTTCTTTATATATATATATATATATATATTTATTTTTTTTTTTTTTGGGCATTAGCATTTCGCCTTTTGCTGTTTGACGTCTCATTCCATATGGAAATGTTCCGAAAAGCGTCCATTAAATTGTCTGACTTGGACGACTGACTAATTCTTGCTCTATAAGGCTTTGGCTGCGTGGCACACACAGCTGCCAAGTTTTTCAGTTCCAGTGTTGCCAATTCCAGCTATTTTCTAGCTAAATTTGTATGTTTTTGGCGCAAATCTGGCTAGTTTTGATTATATTCAGCTGCCAATGTTTGACTATTTCTCTGAGCTATTTCATATTCACTTTTGTTTTTTATTATCTGGCTTTCCAATGACATGTGCTGACAACTCTGTTTGCTGTTTATCGATAACGATAGTTTAGCTTTTTGTCATCACTAGCTAGTGTTGTGAAGTGCAGCAGAAGCCTTTGAATGACGAATTGATTGAATGCGAATACTTCAGACTACACAAGTGTTTATTTTTTACTGTTATAAAATCGAAATAACTTTATTTTGACCACAAACAAATCAAAAAAACCTTATCTTGATAGCTTGCTAATTAAATGAAGCTATTGTTAGCTATTTCTAACATTAGATTCAGCTAATTTTTGGCGCTCATCTCACAGCTTGGCTTCAAGTTTACATGAACTAAGGTAGCGCAGACTTTGGCCCAATTAGACTTTGGCTCGCTTTATGCGCTAGCTAAACAATTAAGAGAGTGAGTGAGTCAGAGGGAGAGTGGGGAAGAGGGTCGAGGGCGACGTGGCGGCTTCTCATTCATTTGATGCCACAACTTTGCCCTCTAAGTGTGATTTATGTGCAACGCCCACGCAACGATCACGATCGCAATGCGATCACACGAATCGCACGAATCGTAATCGTAATCGTAATCGAGTCGGCTTCGCTTGCGGCTGAGCTGAAAGGTCAAATTCTCTATTCTAATTGATATATAACAAAAAAAAAAAAAGAAAAGAAAAGAAAAACGAGATCCAACGATCTTGCGTTCGCTCCAAATGCTGCCCCATTTTCCCCCTGGCGCGGTGCCAATCAATTTACGTCAGGCGCTTGATTGGTCAACCTCTTAGCCCCATACATAGTACATGCCCCCAGTTGGGCACCCCCGCTCCACCCCCTCCCAGCTGGCCACCCATTGATTAATGAAATTAGACAATCAACAAGAGTCTCGAATAAAAAGCAATAGTAGAACGAAAATTAAAATCACTTAATTAAATAATTTTTAATGTGCCTCGTTGTGCGTTTAATTGTTCTTCTTGTTGTTTATATTTTTTTGCTTTGGCTTCTTTTTTTGGGTTTCTTTTAAAATTAGTTTAAGCTTTTTACGGCTGCATTTTGTGGAGCAGCTGTCGTTCGTTAATTGCAAAGAATGGCCGTTAAGAGCTTGCCTCTGCTACATTATTCAAATTGGCATCTATTTGCCGTTTCACAGCTCTTAGACGAGCTGCTTTCTGTCCGACAGTCCGACAGTGTCTATGCAAAGTGGCATTTGGCATTCTGGAACTATGGACTCACCACTTGCTAAGATGAAGGTCGTGCGATATGCGCTAATTGATCAGTCATCTAGACATACAGCAGCTGATAAAGGCTATCATGGGCATCAAGAGCTATAGCTATCTAGTTTTAGGTTTATTTCACATGGATCAACTGATCAGGAGAGAGAGAGAGAGAGAGAATGAGAAGCAGCATAAGCAGTCTCTTGTTGAAGAACTCACATAGATCACTGATCTGAGCTAAGGCCAAAGAGAGAGGAAGAGAGGAGGAGAACTCACATAGATCATCGATTACAGTGTGAGAGTGAGAGCAATAAACACAGTCTGATCTATGAATCTTGTGCCCTGTTGATCATTGATCACTGTTAAAAAGAAGAGCGGGTGAGAAAGAGGCAGAACTGTATATTCTACAGAACTAGAACTATACCTTGAACAGCCATAAAATTAGAAGCTGATAAACATTGATCACTGAGCAGGGCAGAAATGGTAAAGGTATACAGTCGACCGGTTACGATAAGGCTTATAAGATCAACTGATCACAAAACTAGAAAGAAAGCTCAATATGTAAGCAATAGGTTGAATGATCAGTTTGAGGTGAAAATGTCTCTTGATGATCATTTATACGGTCTACTTCACTGATCTTCAGAGAGAAGCCGAAATTGTGCCCACAAATGATCATCATGTTGGTATCTGTTCCACGGGAAAGTTGTCAAAGATTGCATAGGGTAAACACAGCTAAAGCATAGAACACTCTCTTGGCAAACATGGCTATCGATCGGAGCAGCCAGCCCTGTCATAGATCGCATAGATCAGCGTGTTTGTCCGTGTTACGTGCCAAGGTTGTGGCTGCAAATACAAATTGCTAACTAATGTCAATGGGTTAACAAACAAACAAATAAACAAATGAACAAATGAACTGACAAAAGAAGCGTACACACGCTCGACACTTACGATTCCAGTATTATAAATCTTATGACTGCTAATGAGACTCGTAAAACAGAGTCACATTTATTCTAGACATCATTTGATGTCTCTCTGTGCACACGTTTAATATGTAGTATGTATAAAGAGTCTTATTACCAACGCGTTGTACAATGTACAATTCTTATATTGTTTATTATTTTTTTTGTTGTTGTTTTCTTATATTTTGTTTTTGTACTTTTATTGGCAAACAGCTAAATAAAAACTCCATGAGCCGTATATGATGATGACCTGCAAAGCACTTTGCATTTCATTAAGGTTTCATTCAATTCAACAGCTTAACAATTATACAACCTTTTATTTTATTTTTTTTTTTTTTTATATTCAATGCAATCTGTGCTTCATTTTAATTTTCATTGCATTTTTTAATTTTTCTCTTCAATTGGCAGGCTTTGCAATGTCTTATAGATTTTACATTTAAATACAAAGTTGTTTTTCAATTCAATTTTAATTTCAATTTCAATTCAATTAATCGCAATTTTAAAATGTGATTGTGATTCCATTCAATTTGAACTTCAATTTTTAACTCAATTTTAATTTCAGTTTCAATTCAATTAATCGCAATTTTGAAATGTGTCATTTCAACAAGTTCGCTATTTTATGGTTTCGGTGTGTGCAAATCACTTGAATCCAATTAATTTTTCACTTCAATTTTAACTTCAATTTTACCTTCAATCAGCTGAGTTCGCATGCCTTTATTGTCAACTCCATTTCTATTCAATTTCCAATTTCTTTCCAAATGCCTTCAATCAAACTTTCAACTTACTTTCATAGAATATTCAATCATTATATTTGATTTCAATCAAACTAATATCAACCGTGGGGCATGTCTGGGCGCCTCCACCCTTGCTCTTGCCCTTGCCCTCGCCCTCGTGCCGCCCACGCCGGCCGCAATCATTTTGTTTTGTTTTATGGGCTTCTTTTTTTAGCATCTCTCTAAATAGGCACAGAAAATTGCTGTTAATTGCAGCTAATTGGGTTTTTGCACATTTCAATGCACAATTTTGTGAAAATTCGCACAAAATAACCAAACGAGCGACGCATTCGTTTCTGTTGGTACCCCGTTTTTTTTTTTTTTTTTTTGTTTTTTTGATGGTATTTTTCGTTTTGTGTGCATTTGTTGTATTTTTTCAGCTGCCGCTTAACGCCTTTTGGCATTTCAAACAAATTAATGCCATTAAAGATGCAATTCGAAAAGGCCTTAATCCTCCCCACACACAAATGTTGCAAATTAGGTAGCTCTTTCGATTTGTTAGTTAAACAACTGGTGCTGGAGCGGGTTGCGAGGGGGCTGCGATTTACGAATGGCAAATACACCAAAATACTGAAATACTCAAATAAACACACACACACACACACGCACACACACACACACGCACGAAAAACCAAATAAACAAAACGTCTTTCGTTTTGGTTTTTGTCGTCGTTTGCTTTCAAGATTTAAGCCAAATTAATGGACACTGTCAAGGGGGGGGAGAGAGAGGGGCTTTGGTAGAGAAGCGATTGCTGCTTCCCTCAAACAACCCCTCCCCCCCCTCCCCCTCCGCCTTCCCACTGCCAGTGTGTTTGCCTTAAAAATTGACGCTACCTACGCGCGTTTGTTTTTAGCGTCTTTCAGCTTGTGCTTCTTCTTATTGTTTTCTGTATATATTTTGTATATTTTTCACGTCTTGTCTTCTGCACTTTTTGTTTTCTTTTTCATCTGCTTCTTATTTTTTTTCACGCTTATTTTTGTTTGTGTCTTTTTCGAACTGTCTTAGGTTTTTGCGATGATTCATTCGCCGGTCGCCAATTTAAGCTAATAGTCTGTTTAGACAGAGAGGGGTAGGTGGGTGGGTGGGGGGTGGTGTGTGTGTGTGTGTGTGAGATGGTCAGACAGTGTGCGGGGTGTGAGGGTTGGCTAATCAATAATCATCAATCGTCTTTTACACACAGTAAATAACCAAAATACTTCAAACGGGGGGAAGGGAGCGGGGTTGTGTGAGGCGCAGATGGTTCAGCGCTGTATACGGGGAGTGAAGGGGGGAGTGGGTGGGGGGTGGGGGTTGGTAGGGGGTTTTGATGTTTGGCCACATAATGGATGAGCATAAGCTGCAATTATTGATGGGCGTACGCACAGCCTCGGCGCAGTTTCAATTACAACAAATGCTGTTAGTTTGAATACAAAAAGTGAATACTCTGTGAATACACTCGTTGAATAAACTTAATCCACACTTGAATTGATGGCATTGCTTTAATCATATCATTTTTAAAAATGTTGCTAACCTGTTGCCTCTGCTTCTTCTCATTGCAGCTAAACGATTGTGCATTTTATGGTAAGTCAAAGTGCGGCCATCGATCTGTGAAAATCTGAGAAAATTGAAAACCGAAAACTGAAAAGCTGAAAAGCTCAGCTGAATACCCGTAAAAGCCTGTGTAAGCCTGATAAAAAGCCGCCTCATTTGACAGCCATCAATTATGGCTGTTTATGGCTGAACAAATGCATTTAACTGCTTTACGCATTCAATTAATTTATAATTTAATTTCAATTCAATGTTGAATCAATTCAGTTGAAGCTTAACAACAACAATTGACAACAATATGATTCAGCTTGTATTTTATTTAAATATATTTACAAATATCAAATTCAAACTCAATTCAATATTGGAGTCTAAGGAACATAAAGTTCATTTTTATTGAAATTGAATTTATTGACTGCTCGCTAACTTAAAATAAAATTGAAAGTAGATTTAAAGATGATAATTTTTAAAAAAAAAAGTTCTAGTTTTTAATGCATCAATATCTTTGGTTAAGATATCGTGTTGTTTTTATTTCAAATGCTTCTAGATTGAAACTAATTTCAAATCTAATTGAAATTGAAATTGAATGTGATATTGAAGTTTTAAGTTTACAGAAACAGTTTTGTTATTATTCCATTTATATAATTTATGCTAAAGATATTTTCAGTCAAGATATTTTGTTGTTACAAATGCAATTTGCGCTGTCAATTAACAGTTCAATCAAACAATTCAATTTCAATGCAATTAAGATAATATTTATATTTGATTTTCGAAATGCATTTGAATTCGATTTCAATTCAACTGAGAGCACATTCAATTCTTTGTATTCAATTAGCCACATTTCGTGTAATTTTACAAATCAAAAACTGTTCAATTTAATTCACATTCAATTCAATGCGTTTGCTTCAATTTAATTTCTGTTCCATTTCCATTTCCATGTCAAATATTTGTGAAATATGCGCGAGAAAAAAAATGCTCTGTTTACATGTCAGGGCATTGCCCGTTTTGCCCGGTAGCCCATTTTGGCCATGTTCACTGTAAACAAGCTGGCAAATGGCTGTTGGCTAAATTTAGTGAATCTCCCCTTACCCCTAAACCGCCTGCTCGTTGCGGGCGCCCTGCTAAATGCAGCTTCCTGGGCTGCCAACAAAAATATTGCGTATACGCCGCATGCGTCGCACCGTGGCACGCGAAATCAATCAAAGGCAGCTAATTTGCTGCACGCCATCTGGCAAAGACTGTGCGTCAGCTGCCACAAGGTGTGGCAAGGCAGCGGCGGCGGCAGCAGCTTACGAATGTTGTGGCATGCAACGAGGTGGGGGTCCAGCAGACAAAGCGGCGCCAGCTTGATGTCCTTGTAGCGGCTGCTGCCAGCCTGCTGCCTGCTGCCTGCTGCGTGTGGCATGTGGCATGTGCCCCAAATGGCGTCAAATCAATCAAACAGCGTAGAAAATCTGCCCGCTTGCTGGCGAGTTACGCGCAATTTAACCTGTCTGCCAATTTGCTCTCTCTCTCTCTCTCTCTCTCTCTCTCTCTCTATCTGTCTCTTTGTCTCTTTGCAGCTGCTCTGTCTCTCGTTTGCTCAATTATGATAATTGCGCCCACACACACATACACACACACTCTCTCTGAAATGATAATGTCGGCGCCAGCATTTCCGTTTTTATGAACATCGCTGCGTCTAACCCTCCCCTGGCCAGCCCTGCGCCAGCACATCTTTAAGCGTTGACCCCTCCCTCCCCCTCCGTTAACCACATCTCTGGCTTGAACACACCCAGCGCTTGGGCGTCGTGTGGACACGTGTGTGGGTGCCATCCATGGCCATGTCCATGTCCATGTCCATGTCCGTGTAGTGGCTGCCTGACACGCACAATTAAGTGCCACCAGCCCCAACACTCGCTCCCACTCTCTCTGCCACTCTCTCCCCCACTTTCTCTGCCCATTCGCTCCTGCAGTTTGCTCGGCTCAAGGATAACGATAAACGATAAACGCGTCAGGCGATGGCTGCAGCTTTGCTTTTTCAAAATCAAATCAAATAAAATACAATTTACTACGCTCACGCACGCTTCATGCTTTAGCTATAGCTCTGCCACCCGACCCCCTACCCGCTCCCTTTTTATTGCCATCCCTCCCCCACTTATCCCCCTTGCACCCAATTGTTGGCCCTAACTCTTGCCAGCAAATTGTTGATATATAGAAATGGTCGACGTCGCCCTGGCGCTCGTTTTCATTTTCATTTTCGTTTTTTTTTTTCGTTTTTTTTTTCGACTATTTTTATATCTATTTCACATTTTCATTTCCGTTTCGCCTTAATGCACTTGACCTTCAGCCAAAAAAAAGACCATATATATATATATATATATACATTTATATATGTATATATATGTATACATATGTATGAAATAGAAATAACAAAAAATATTCTCAAGTTCTATTCCATTTTGCATCCAACGCAGACGAAGCGAAACAGGCAAAACGAATATCTAGTCGGAGGCTTCCGGGCAAGAAATACACAAAAACTTATAAAACGTAATTTTGCTTGAAATTTGAATTTATTTTTTTAATAGAATATAATAGTGCATTTCATTAAATTGCCCTGCGCATGCTGGATAGTATTTACTTTGTCTTTCAATTTCAATTCAATTTTCGTTATTTCTTCAAGTTTAGTCAAATATTCATTTCCATTTCTTTTCCATTTTTTTTTTATTTAAATTTTTTTTTCATACCTCTTAGTCGTTTTTCAACACAACTTTGTCTTTCAATATCAACTTCATCTTTGTTTTCAATTTCAATTCAATTTAAATGAGTTTTTCTTTAATTTCAATTTATGACTTTGTCTTTCAATTACGATCACATTTACATTTGCTTTTTCTTTCGACTGAATTTTCTTTTGATTTCAATTCTACATTCAAAGTAGAAGATCGGGTTTTCTTTTGCATTAACCCTATGTTAGGCAAAAGTATGTTAAAATATGCTCTTAATTGACATTTCAGTTCAATTGAATTGAATACAAATATGTTTTAATGCATGTCAAAACTCTTCTTAAGTCCATTCAAACTTTTTAATGAGTCATTTGTCAAGTAACAGCTTCAATTTGCATTTGATTTTGTTTACTTCAGGCTTTTAAGTGAATTTTTATCTGTTCAATCGGTGCTTCAATTTCAATTTCAATTTCTTGACATTTGTTGCAAATTATCTTATAAATTAGTTTTTTTCAATTATGATTCAACTGATTAACAATTGTTGTAGTTGTTGTATTGAAATTTCCCATTCAACTTTGAACAATTGAAGTCTATTCAATCTCATTTCAATTGTTATTCAATAAAAGCGAAAATGTTCTAGAAAATCGCGGTCGCATGACAAAAGGCCACGTTGCACGCTCCTCGCCATTATGGCCATAACACTGTAAATTTCCAGTGTAAATTCCATTAGGATTATATTACCAGGCACACACACACACGCACACACATTGGCAGATTGGCAGGGAAGCCACAAAAGTTGCGCTGGCCCATAAACTAGGAGACTTTTCTTTTATTATCCTTGGCAGAGAGTTGGCAGCGAGGACACAGCTGAAACGTAAAAAGTTCAAATGGATTAGGGCCAAGCTTCAAGCGGAAGCCCAACAAGGCGTTGGCCACACACACACACACACACATACACACACACACACATAGAGAGAAAGATGTTGTGCGTGCCAAGCGGGGATATGTGTCAAGGACATGCGGCAACAGAGCGCAAAGGCGCTTTACATTTCTCCATTAGCCGATGTATGCATGTGTGTGTGTGTGTGTGTGTGAGGGTGCGTGCATGTGTGTGTGTGTGAGTGGACTATCATACATTGTATATTGTAGGCGTGCCTAACTGCAGTTAACACACAGCTCGCACACCTTTCGCTCCGCCTCCGCCTCGTCCTCCTTTGTCGACATTCGGGACACATTTGGAGCACAAACTAATTGATATTTTCACAGTCGTATTTCTCCCATTTTTCTTCTAACATTGTTTTCTCCTTTCTTTTCTCCCATTTTAGTTTTTTGTTTTTATTTTATTTATTTTATTTTTTTTTTTTTTGGCACGCCTTGTCGCATAAATTTTCAAGTTTTGTCTCTGCTCCCAGGAGAAGTTGCGCACACGCCCAGTTGCCAGCTCTTGTCAGTCCAAATGGATTAATATGATGAGCCTAGGCTGGTGGCAAGGCAGATGAAGTTGAAGTAGACTTAAGAGTTATGGCCACAATTTTTTAGCCAAATTAATGTCATCACACAACATTACAAATGTAGAACGCATAGAAGAAGACATCTCCGTAGCCTTAAGGTATATAAATTACAGGAAAAACACCTCTAAGCTATTTCTGCTATTTAAAGAGTTTTCTTCCACGGATAAATATACGTACATATATGAATATATATATATATGTATATTTGTATAGTATGTGTTTCGCTTAATCGTTGGCCCGTTTTTCTATAGAATGCCACTGGATGCCGCTCTTTGTGCTGCGGACGCGTGCGGTTCATAAACAAAAGTATTTGGCCAATGTGTTTACTTAGCCAAAAGGCCGCTTGCCACGAGATGCACGTTTCTGTTTCCATTTTTTTTCTCTTTCGTCTTTTTTTTTTTGCATCTTGAATGCCACAAAGCATTTCCTAGAACATTTCCAATATACAACTGGCAGCTGGCAAGTGGCAACTGGGCAGCTGCTGCGGCTGCGGCTGCGGCTGCTGGAGCCACTGAAAACCACCGAGCTTGATGGAGCTTGGGGGCGATAACGAGTGCGACGCAGTGCCACAAAATTTCCATTAGATTTATTGTGTGTTGGTGTGTGTGTGTGTGTGTGTGTGTGTTGTTCTTTCCATTTTGGACGCTGCTTGATGCTCGTTTGCAATAAATAAACACAATAAACAATTTTAATGCGAATTCCTTCATAAAAATCATGTTGATGCGAGCGCCGGTTGCCGCCCCGCCGCTCGCACCCCGTTGGCCGCCGTTCATCATCACGATCATCATGATCATCAACATAATTATCAGCATCAACAGTTGGT